ATAATAATAATAGTAATAATAATAAAAAAAAAAAAAGAGAACCTCGAAGTATATGTAGGACAGACCTAAGAGAACACATGAGCTCTTTAGATCTTTGGCATTTCGATATAAACCTAAGGCTCTATAAATAAAACATGACTAGTCTGAGTTATTTTGATACCAAGTGAAGAGCAAAACATCCAATATAAAAAATTACAATTCCCATTTTATGATCGACCGAGTCAAAAGTTATCAAGGATAGTGACACTTGTTAGCAAATACTCCCCTATGAAATAGCCTATTCTACCATATGAAGAAAACACAAGGGGGTATGTACCCAATTCAAATCAGTAATGCCCCCTACTGAGTCAGCCTCTTATTTCAAAGGCATCCAGAATGTATTTATTTATTAAGATAAAGGCAGTTCTTCCCATCCTTGGCAAGTACTGAAAACAGTACCAGCTATGCTTTTTTTTGTGGAACTGCAATCAGTTCTGCACACAACGAATTTTAAAGAAAGAACAAACTTGTCGTTGCAATTTTTGTTAGAATTCCAAAACCTGTTTTTTTACCTACTCAATCTTTATTCTGGTTACTGTAAAAATTAAACAGATGCAGCATCACTGAGACTATATTCATGAAATGTGATTCACTGAAGAAAATGCTATTTCAATTCACCTCACTGATGTTTGTTAACACCTTTTAAACACAAAGATTTGAACACACATTTGGAAAACATTTTCTAGAACATGACGTCATGAATGTATTTTTCTAATTAAACTAGAATAGTACTCTCAAACCAAGCCATTAGGTCGTCCCATAAAACTGACTTTCAGCCAAGCACAAATGACCAGTTTGGGTATTTGTAATTACTTTGCATTGTTTTGAGTTTTTAAAACAAAGAAAAATGTATGCAGATGAGAAAGGAACAGAAAGGAAACAAAGCATTTTAGATACTCTGCATTTTTGCAAACTTCCTTCACAATATTCTAAATCCCCTCCTATACCATAAGAAAATACTTCTGCATCTCTGCACTGACTGCTTCTGAATTAGAACCAACCTGTCCACCAGAATAATGTAAATGAATAAACAGTACAGAATCCAATGAAAACGTAGCAGCAGGTTTAAAAAAAAAAAAAATAATTAAGAGTCACATCTACCGCTACATTATTTAGTTGGCAGTATGTGGTTCAGTGGAGTAAACAAGTAGGTTAAATTATATTTACTTCCAAAGAAAGAGTAGAGGACCTTACTAGTGGCACACTGGACAGGTAAAAGGATGATGTCAGGACAAACTTTGAAATTAGTCCTAGTCCAAAATTCTAGGGAAAAGGAACCGGAAATAAAACAGCTCTTTAATTGACTGGATTATCATTCTCAGTGATTACACAAATAGCATGTGTTTAAAAAAGTCTGTGCACACCCGTGTACTTAACCCCGTGCTAACACTTGATTTTGTGACAAGAACCAAGTTTGTGTTTTTGTTTCCGGGTTTTTCTTTGTTTGTTGTTTTGCTTATGTTGAAATTGCACTTAACCTTTTTACCAGCTGATACTGAACTGTAGTCTAATCTTACAGGATGGCATTAACATCACAGAAATATTCCATCAATAGACAAATTAAATTACAAAGGAACATATGCTGCAGTGCATTTATAACTCGGACTGGTTTTAGAGCTTGCCAATAAACAAAAAAGTCATGATTAAATTTCCTAAATAACTTTACACTTGATCTGAAAACAAACAAAACCAAAAGAAACCAAAAACCACACACACAGAAAAGGTTTTCACGGAACTCCACCTAGCTCTTTTGTTGTCCTGTTGTCGCAGAACTTAGGCTCCTAGGGTTACAGACATCTCCATTTCAGAGTAGCTATCGCATGAGGTTTTCCAGTCTCTCTGCCACAGAGTTGAGAGGCTGAACACCAAGGGTTCTCAGGCAAAAGCTCACAAACTGCCACACCGATTCCAAATGTAGCACTGAAACCGACAGCGTTCCCTGAGCAACTGTACGGCACTGGCAGCATCTCTCTTTTTGGAAACTCTTCTTCAGTGTTTCCAGAATAAAGTAAGACTTTTCAACTTGTAGTATTTTCTGTTACACCCCTATTTTAACCTAATGCTGTCCCAGAAGAAACTCTCTGACTCCCTGAATTCTCTCAAGCTGGGAACCCTGACTTACCAGACAGTTCTCTAGCAACACTGTCCTTCTAACAGCTACACAAAGGTTTAAGTCTGCTACAGCTTTTGAGCCGTTCATCTACAAGTCTCATTTATGAATTGCCGTATCTTCATGATTAATGTATTGTTGAGATTTAGCTCATTAAGTCTTTGAAGATTTAAACAAATACGTCAACTACAGAACACTGGATTCTGACTCATATATATCCAAGATACACAAGGCCTTGGAAACTGAAGAACTGTTCCAACAGAAATTAATGCTCTCCTATTAATACTGCAACTCTGTACCACAGTCTTTTAGCCTCAGAATATTAACTCTAGAATCAGCTAAGCACACAGTATCTTAATAAATACTACAAGACCGTATCACCTGCTTTTTAAAGTTAGCCGTTGCTCTTAAACAGGACATTGTGATATGATGGATGACATCCTCTAACTCAAACTGCATATATGGACAGAAAAAAGAAAAAGGAAAAAAAAAAAAGGCAACAAACCCTACTGAGACAATTTGACATCTCAACATTTGAGAACACAGGTAAGAAAATTCGTGTGAAACACTTACAAAGCATGTAGTACGTACCACAGCCAGAGGAACTCTGACAGAACTGTTCCGATAAGGCCATTAATGACAATGCACATCCATATCAGTTTACTGGGAAACTCAAATGCTTCAAACCCAGTATAGTGAAGCAGGAAAAACCCTGGCCACAGCAGCAACAGATTAAACAACCCTACAAAACCTGAGTATAAAAACAGGGTTAAGTAAATTACAATAAATATCTTTCAACATAACTAAAATCTCAGCTAAACTCCACTATTTTGGCATGTACACATAAAAGCAGCAGCAAAGCAATATTTTACATCTTTCAAAGGAAAGGAATATAAGAAACTTTACCTGAAATTCACAAACAATTACATCAGATATTTACAGGTTTTAAATTGAAAAAAATTTCCATTGAGTTCAAAGGGGCTGTTTGCATTCCTACAGGTAGTGTTATCTTTCATTGTTCAGACTGTAAACAAGAAACAATTCACACAACTGTCTCTAAAGTACTTGTAACCACAGGAACAATAGGCGCTCTCTACTTCCTTGGCTTTTCTGAGCCCCTTTAACACTCATATAGAGTTCAGTGCCTGAAAGCAAAAAATTTAATCACACACTGAAATTAAAACTTTCAATAGAGTTATTTTTAATCTTACCAAAGAACATTGGTATGTCAAGTTTATCTTCTCTATCTACTTTCCTTTTTATCATTACTATGTACACGGCATAAAGCATTGCTCCTACAAGAGACCAAAGGGAGCCTGTAAAGAAGAAAAAAAACCACTCACTTAAGACATGCACACATGCTATGCACACTAGGATCAACTCTCTTAAACATGCACCTATTATAAAACTGTCAGAGATAAACAATTTAATTACAGAATCCATTACTATATGAAAAGCATGGAAAAATGCAGAAAGCTTGAAAATGTAAATACTTTCCCAATTAAGCTATATACATAGGGGGAAAAAAATCATCATAAATGTCCAGTTTCAGAAGTTGAAACTAAAAAGCCAGACTGTGAAATGTTACAGGAGTAAGAAATATATAGCTTGCTATATGACCTACTGAGTATCGTCAAAAGATGGTACTCATCACTGCATAGTCTAGGATTAAAAAAAATTAAGTAAATACCTATTGTATCTTTTCCAGCAGATTTCTCAGATCCAGAAAGGTTAACAAGTACCACACCACCAATGCTAGCAAAAAAGAAATGCAAAATGCTACTTAAACCCAAGAACTTTTTTACAAAGACAGAACAAGGGGAGAGAAAAATATAAAAATACAGTTCTATCTTAAGGTATTTTTAGTTAATAAAACCCACTTTTGGAAAAGCCAAAAGGAGTTCTCTATTGCTCAGGCCTGATCCTAAGCTAAAAACAAACAAACAAAAAAAAGCCACTTTCAAATTCCCTGAACAATGCACCAGGCATTTAATGAAACAGGCCGACAACATTGAATGTCAAGCCTCTTCCTTTTTCCTATCTACACAAAAATAAAGAAACCGTAATTAAACAACAAGAAAATAAGTTCACATATTTCCAACAGAAACCTGATTAATCTGGTTTCCTACAGGAGCATGAGATTTGGTAATTGTTCATGATATGAAATATTTAAAAAGACTTAATTCACTTGCTCAATTTATCTGTGAAACAAGGATTTTTTTCAAAAAAGTGAAGCATATCATATATTGTCGCAGATACCATAGGTATAGTAGGTATAGTTGTCCTCTCACTCTAGCAGGAAGTTTTTGACCAGATGTTCCATCCCATTATCTTACCTTAAAATAACAGCTAATAATTTGGACAGGGTAAACCTATCTCCACTGTTACTGGGAAAGACTGCAGCTAAGATTAATGTAAAAAGCCCTGCAAGAGAAATTAAGAAGAGTTTATACAATCGATTTTTGCTACTAGTTTGTTCAGAAAACTGCACAGACATTTCCTTCTTTATATTTCACATACTTAACTACTTGATCTTAGCATCCCTAATTTTAATCGGAACTATCATGAAGCCAACACCTTGTGATGTGAATTGTCCGATAAGCAAATACATGCTGAACTTTGAGACAGGCTAGTCATACTACCAAAATAAACTGCAATAAACCTGAAAAGTCAGTGGCGGAAGGGGGCAGGGGGAAATCCCATAATTGTGCTTTTAAAACTGGTTTTATAAAACAACAAAAGCTACTCCTCAAAACACGGACCGTCACATAATTTAAATACTGTAAAGCTCATATTAAGAGCCTTGCATAAAACCTGGAAAGCAAGTGATGTGCTTAATATTTAGGTGGTTTAAGCTCTTTACCCCTAAAACCATTTTTTTTTAAAACAGTAATTAGCAAGAAGACTTTACTCTGATTTGTACCCATTTTGATAAAAAAGTTATATCAACTTTCCTTCAAACCTATTACACTCCCAATATATCTCTTTAACACACAGACATAACCACAGAAGTACACACACACATGAACTTTAAAAGCAAAAAGCAGAGGAATCATGAAGATAGCTTAAACCCCTGCAATTACATAATGAAAATTTTTAAATGCACATATTCAATGGCTTTAAGCCTTACTATTCCCCCAAAACCACAGGTAAACCATTACACAAGTCCCCCCCCAAAAAAAAGATTTTTATGTTATAGACAGCCTTATAATGCACATCTGATGATCTAAACAAAACTTACCAGAGGTTGAAGACAAGATATTAACTATGGCAACTTGGGTATCTGACAGAGCTTCTTGGTAAGAGAAATTTGCCAAGAACCACTGGGGGAAAAGAAAAACAATTTTATGATTGTATGGATAGCAACAACACAGGTTAAGTTTCTCAGTGCAATAAAGTCCTACTCAAAGGGGGAAAAAAAAAAAAAAAAAAGCAACTATTTATTCAAAAATAAAACCAGAACAAGACTTTACCTCAAATAGATCTCTAACTTCTATCGAAGTGGCAGGTACATTAAAAGACAGAGGCAAAATTAGAACTGGCCCAAACCAACCACATTCCACTACGTGTTTAATAATGAAATAACATATTTCAGAACTTAAAAATAATTAAAATGACATTATAATAGCTGGTCTATAGTAACTAAAGGTACTTTTAACTTATTTTGCAAGTGCTTCAAGATGATAACTGCACAAGGGCTGCAAAGAGATTTCAGAGATACATGGGACATTAGTCAGCCTAATGAGGTTTTTTCAGAGTACTTAAAACCGGCACACATCTCCACTAAAAAACAAGCATCGCTTACATTCAATACCCCAAAAATATTTTGGAAGGATTCATGTCTGTTAATTCCTCCATAAAGGAATAAAATGGCAAGTGTTTTATCATTTCTTGACTGAGATCTCATTAACAAGATCTCAGATATATCCTCAGGGATGTTACCACTATCTAAAGTTTTAGTTGGAAATATTTATACAGTCCAAGAAGAAATACATATACATGCCAGTAGTAGCAGCATCCATGAATAGCATGAACAGGACTTGTTTTGAGCATGAGGATTCTACCTTAGAAAATCTGCATGTGTATATATAGAAATATACTCACACACACAGAATTTTAAATCATTTTTAAAAAAGCTATCTCATCCATCCAAAATCACCGAGTGGCTTATTACTTCTCTTGCTGCTGTGGGCACCTCCTTTATGTATACACACAGAAAACTGCATCACCACTTTCTGATCCGTGCATCAACCGTACTAATTTTTTTTTTTTACTAGTAGTATTATTATTATGCTAAATGTTTAAGGAGCACTACTTCCTGAGGAAAAGCTGTGGTGGGTCCACATTACATATAACCTATTTGGTAGTATCAGTGAATCTACTTCTGGAAAAGCTATCACTGATCTGCTCTCTACATTTTTACTGTCTCTCAAAAATCATTCCACCGTTCTCTCTCTCTCTGCCCCTACAACTGAGGCGTGATGCAGAAACATCAGCAACCAACAAATTCGTAAGTAAATCTCGCAGCCCTCAATAAAGCTGAAGGACAATTAACTGTCTTCTCTTCATACTACTGGAGGGCACAATGCCACAATGAGGCCTAAGATGGTACTCTTTCTGTGACGGCCCAGAAAGAAGTCAGTGACATTTACCCATGTCATGCAGTCTCACTGCAGCTATTACAGCCTGTATACGCGTAATCCCAGAGTTTGCTGTACCAGACATACCCAACACTGGACAACATGGCACAAAAGGATGGCATATCTTACAACTGACCTTACAGTTAACTACACACCCAGGATCTCTTTTTATTACCCTCCCTTTAAGAAGTTGCACCTTCATGTCCAGCACATGAGGAAAGTTTTACTTCTTGTACTATATTTATAAAATGAGGCATAAAGAATACAAGTCATCTCAATACTGTTTCACTATTATTATACAAGTTTTAATTGCATCTATACTTAAGTTTTCTGAAAGAAAGGAACACATACCACAAAGCAAAAGAAAAAGCTAATTTTTGCTACTTGAGTTGCGGTGAGTTTTCCTACAGTTTTTAATATTGATTCCTGCTCCTTAACTGTTGGATATGACATCCGAGACAACTTTGCTTCCAATGCATGGCTCGATGGGAGTTGTCGAATCTCCATAATATTACTGAACCTTACACGAGGTTTTTTGGGAGCTTAAGAAGAAAAGAGAAGAAAAAAAAGCTGCATATTATCATTAAACTTTTCAAGCCAACACAATATGCAAATAAAACTATGATGTTCTAATAGATCATTGATTACAATACGTCACAAATAACAGATTTTTATCCAAATAGAAGACATACCATTATTTTTATTTATTAAACTGTTATTTTGCTATTTGATAGGCTACTAATAAGACAAAGCACAATTACTGTTTTTCATCAGTAGAGCTGTCCACCCACCAGAGCCTCACTGAAAAGCACCATCCCTCCTCCCCATCAAAAAAATCCACACAATGTAACGACAAATTCTTAGGTAGGAATTATTCACTATTGATAAATATTACATATAAGATTTTCTTTAGTTGTTTAACAGTCAAATAGCCAAAAACTGCACACAACTATACCAAACTGCAAGGACAATGTTTCATTCAGAGGATGAGAGTGTCCAACAGACCTCGAAGCTTAGCAGAGATCATAAGGTCACTTGCTCATTTGAAATCCACCCTCTAACTAATCTTGCAAACCAGGATCAGATTTTATTTACAAGGCTATTGTAAGTATCATTAGTTTCCTGTGTAAAGAAAACATTACATGCTATATATAAATATTAGCCTAATTCAATATGAAACAATACCTAATTTCCTAAAAAAAGGCGAGGGAAAAGCTACAGCTCAAACAACCCTGCAGTGATTGATGCATGTTGTCACAGGACAGCAGAGCCTGCCAAAGCGGTTCTTAACACATGTCATCTAGAAATTAACAAAGAGACTTTCCCTTTTATAAGCAGGGACTCTTTTGCTGAGGATCAGATCACTGGATTCTTTGACAGCTAGCTTTTCTGTAATTGTCTGGGACAGTTAGGCCTGTTTCAGCTACTATCACAAGATAGTGAGGCTTAAATAAAATCAGAATGCACATAGACTGTTAAAATTCTTACTTTGACTGCTTTGCTCCTGCTCTAAAAAGGACAATAGCTTGTTTTTCCAGAGGCTGACTCACTGCTGCTGGTCATACAAGCCCAGAAGGAAAGAATCACAAGTACTGAACCCAGTTGGTCCCTTGAGATAAACATAGGCTGGATCTGTAGCGACCAAGAAAGGTAAACTGAACGATAGGCCTATGTTTTCTCTACCTGAAAGTAAATATATGAGACTGCAATTCATG